GAGCAAAGGGGTGCAGAATCGACCTCACGGGTAAAGAGGGGTAGTCCCGGTGATTCGGTGGTAATTCTCGGCTAATCCTTGGCGCGCGCTCCGAATAAGTTAACTCGTGTTCCTTTTAACCAGTCAGTTCATTCTTCTCTCGGTCGGGAGATTATTAGATCGGCGAGCTTGGGCAACCCCCGTGGAGCGGGGGGTCGCGGCTAGGGTGGTGGTGATGGCACCATACGGTGCTTGTGGCGATGATGACGATGACGATACGGGCGGACTGCTGCTTTAAGTATGCGCAGAGCGTGTTGTGGCAGTGTGTTGTTTGGCGGTTGCCGCACACTGGAAATGCCACACGGTACGCCTTTACTCGCGGCGGATCCGCGCCGGAGCGGCCTCGCTTTTCGTATCTCCCGGTTGGAATCAGCCGTGCGGCTCTCCGCGACCAGGGAGGGAGACTCTCCCCCTCGTCGAAACCACCTGGGTGGGAAACGTGGACTCGTGACAGAAACGTGGTGGTTCCCTCCCCCCCTTTCCTCTAAAGCCAAAACAAACCACTTTATCAATCAGCTGAAATGCGTAAACGTATCGTTCCCCTACCCCCTCAAATCCCTCATTTTCGTCGGACTTGATCCGCCCCTGCCTGCAGCCCCACCCTCTCTCCGCCCAGCCCCGTCGTCGTCGAGCCCCGTCGCCTCAGTGCGTTTGCGGACGGACGGGACGGACGGGTGGGTCAACATTGGAAGATGCTGCGGTTGCACTGTTGAAAAGAAATGGCTTTACAATGACAAAAGCTTGGCCAATTTTATCTACAAGTACGTCATCGCGGAGGTATGTGTCCTGTTCATTGGAATGGAGGTGGTTGTTTTGGGGGGTTTATTTTGGAAGGGGGTGGTGGGGGAGGAGCAAGTGACAAAAGACATCTGCTTATAAAATTATTCTGACAGTGCAGGGGCGGAAAGGGAGGGAGAAAGGGCGGAAACGTTTGGGCCCGCGATACTGCCTCTCTGCGATTGTATCTGGGCGGGGTTGATAAGACTTGGTCCCCTTGGTCCGGCCGTCCCGTCCGGCCGGGGTTGCAGTTCTGAATGGGGCCGGGCTGGACTGGGCTGGGCTGAGCGGGCTGGGCGGCGGTGCTCCCCGGGCTGCTGCCGGGCTCCGAAGCGCAGGCCGGGCCGGGCGGGGGGAAAGTGCCGGCGGCGTCCGCACGAACATGTTGCAATAATAACATTTTAGCAGATGATACGCGCCGATGGCTCCCAGATAACGCCGCTTTAAACTTCTTTACGGTCGTGAAAAGCAGCTCCGCGGTTTTGTGTGGCGCCAAAACGACGTGTTTCTGTTTTATTTGCGGGATTTCGAAGCTGCAGCTGGTAAAGCCTTTAAACCAACTCGTATTAAACTCACTCATCCAGTTCACTCTTTATTTAATTTTCTCCTTGTATTCGGCTTTCACACTGATTTAGTGTCGGTTTGTTTGAATTCACAGGGAGGGAGGAAGTTGGTTTTCGGCCGGAGGTTCAAATATGGTGGGCGTAGCGTTGGGCGGCGCTGCCGGAGTAACGGCAGCGGCAATCGGACGCCCTGGCCGCCGCGGGCTGGCGGGAGGAGGCGGGGCAGGCGGGGGAAAGGTGTGGGGGTCAGAACTGTCCGCGCCTACCTCGGCGCGCGTACCGGACCCACCTCATCCGGGGGAGAGAACTCTGCGAGTGCGAGCGCCGGCGAGCGTTGACCCCCGGGGGGTGTGGCGCGGGGCCATCCAGAGCGTGGTTACCCCCAACCACCACCGCTCCGGGGAAGACTGTACGTGGAGCACAACGATAACCATGACCGTGCGACACACATCACTTTCGTTTTTCATCGTTATTTCAGTGTGTGTACTTTTCCGAGAGTTGTGCAGGGGCGGGGCGTGTTCTGTTTATGGACGGTGATCCCGCGTCGTACTCACAGGTGGACGGTCGTTCCACGCTGTGTACGAGCATGAAAGTTTGTGATTTTCATGGCTGCACTGTCGGAGCTCATCCCCAGCGTTCTCGGTTCAGGCACTAAGAACTTTTTTTTTTCGAATACTTCGTTTGTCAGAAAAGTGCTTTAAAGGTGGTCGTTGAAATGGCGTTTTGCTCTAAAAATTGAGCAAAGCAGTTTTCGTTGGTAATCAGAAGCAAAGCTAAAGCTGCACCCAGTTTTTTTTTGTTTTTTTTTGTGGGCTGACAGACGTAAGCAGGCGGTCTTGTCAAATAAAAACGGTGCCTCTTGAAAAGGAATGAAGAGACACGAGGGTGCAGTGTAGCGACGCGGGCCGTGCCGTGCCGTGCGCTGAACTCGCGGGGCGGGGCGGGGCTGCTCCCACACCACAAAGGCGTGCCGTGCCGCGGGGAGACACTGCTGCTGCTGCGGCTGCTGCTGCTGGAGACACGCGCGGTCCTGTTCCAGCCGGCACACCTGGAGGCACCAGGCCGAGTCATTTCCGCCTCCGCTCCGTTTCCCCGCGAGCCGAGCCGAGCAGTGCGGTCTGCCGTTGGTCTTGTAAGGGGCGCATAGCAGCAGCCCGCCGTGGGGGCGCCAGCCATAGCCGCGCAGTGTCGCATCGCAAACGGCAGAAGCGATAGCCGCAGCAGCGGCAGCGGCGGCAGGGAGAGCCTCAAAAGGCAGAGACAATGACGCGCGGCTGGAGGGCGAGCAGTGTGTGTGTTGTTGTGTGTCGTTTGTCCTGCGTTGTGTCGCCCGCAATGGCTGAGCTTGAGCAGTCAATCCGGTGCATGATACCCCGCCGCTAGGATGGAGGCGCCCCGCGGCAGCTACTTGTCGTCGCCGGTCGCGTGGAGGGCAAGGACATCTGCGCATGCCATCACCACCACCACTACCACCACCACCATCATCATCTCATTTGCCCCTCCCCCCCCCTCTCTCTCTCTCTCTCTCCCGCTCTCGCCCTCTTCTCACTCTGCTCACCCATGCTCTCTCGCACTCGTTCCGCTCCTCCGGCCTCGCGGCGGACGGACACGACACGGCGCGAGAAGCGAGATGACAACCTTCAATTTGCAAAGACGAGTGGGGCCCTTGATTTTGCACCCATTCCCCGCCCCGCCCCGCCCGGCCGACAGGACGACGCTAGCGGGTGGGTGTGGGTGCTCTCTCTTCAACGCGTCACTCGTTACTCTAGTGAGTGGGGCCGCGCCTAAAGGGATTTAAAATTTAGAAATTTTTCCTAAAAAAAATGGAAGTACTTTGCCAGATAAAAAATGGAGGAAATTGAAAGATTTAAATAAGAAAATTTAGACTTTCATTCAAAGACTCCTTTTAAAAAGGCCAAAAATACTTTTCTGATAAATTGAAATCCCTGACAGCGCCGCGCGTAGTGCCGCTGGCTGGCGAGCGTAGCGGTCGCGTACTTACTTACGAACGACGTCCTACTACTTGGTCGTTCCCTGCCCCGTCCTGTTCGCGCTGCTTTCAGCCGTGATGGCAAATTGCAAAGCAAATGGCGTTGGCCGGGGGCAGGACAGGGCAAGGGGGCCTTCCCCTCTTGTGTCGTTATCTGTTTGGCCCGGGAGTTCACACACTCGTCAGGAGGCCCCCGCCCTGCCGCTGTCTCGCGGGGCGCCGTGGCGTGGCGGCGGGGCGGGGCGAAATATTCGCGTGTGTACGGAGCGTAATCCGGTGTGTGCTCCGGGATGGGCGTTGACGTTGCCCATCTTGTTGTCGTTTCAAAGGACTCTCGTCGAGAAAGAAAATAACAACGAACGCTCATTGCGCAGCGAACGGGCACAAGACTTTTCTGTCGTGCCTTTTCGTGTTTTTTTTTTCTCATTTACCGATGTTGCTTCAGGTGGGCGTTCACGTGCACTTTTTGTGGTCGTATACCCTAACTACTTGGCGGGCTTGCCTATCGTCATTGAATAGTAACGATGGCTCAGGCGTAGCCAGAGGCCGCGACCTGCCCCGAGGGACCCCGACGAAGGAAGTGGTCTATTTCTTTGGCCATTGAACGAGTAAGACGTCTGGTGGGTGGGTTGGCAACGGTAAACTGCGGGAGCTCGGCGCCTGCGGGACTCGGGGTAGGCCACCCCGCGGTACACGCGTGCACTGCTGGCGAGGTGTTGCCTACCAACCAGGCGCTATGGGGGCTTACAACAAGGACCCGACTTGGAAGGTTCCTAACGGCAAATGATGGGCGCACTTCCTGGATGATGCCTTATTGCCCGTGGCCCCTTGCGAGTAGGCTAGCCCGCCCGCACGGCTGCGTGGCGGTACAGGATGTCTCTCCAAAAAGCGCGCAAGGCACGCTCGCGCGTTGTCCGCCAACCTTCTTGTGTGGAAAAACTAGCAATCCCACATTTCAAAATCACGCATTTTCCCCCCTTTTTGTTTGAAAATGGAAATGTTGAAGTGTTGCAAACCTAGCTAAAAATGTATGGGCGCATAGCGAGCGAAGTTTTTGAAGGTCTGGCGTGTGACTTGTGACTGCCGAGTGGAACGAAGACAGGTGGCGTCACAGGGGCGGCCGTCGTCCAAGTCCACTCTGGGGGACAGCAGGCATTAGCCAGCCATGGACAGCGTGGACAGACAGACGGGCGGAGGGAGGGGCCAACTGTCTTCGTCGCCATGGGCCCATGGGCTGGCCGGGCCCGGCCGCAGAGGTGTGCGCGTACGTGCGTGCGTGCTCGCGCGCGTGCACTTTGCATAACCGGCGGGGCGGGGTGCGGCGCGTCTCGCAATGCAACGTAAACAGAGCGCTGCACGCACGCCATGTGTGCGCGTATGACTGGGTGCTGGGGCTGGGCCGGCCCGGCCGGTGCAGTCAGGAAGTGGGCAATTAATTATTTTCAGCAATGGGAGCGGGAGCGAATGGTGTCCGCGAATTATAATGTGGGCCAATTGTTGTTGTTTTGCTGTTTTTTTATTTAAAAAAATATTTTTTTATCGGGGTCAGTTGTGCTGCTGGGTGGGCCGATCGCCCTGCCGGACGGAGCTGTTGGACGTCTCTTGACCACTTTGCGCTTTTTTTGTTGCAGACGCCGCTGGGCTCTGAGGGCGCGGGCGGAGCGGGCGACCACATCGACCTCCGCTGCTCGCTGGTGGAGGTGGCCGCCGACTACACCAAGAAGAAGCACGTACTGCGCCTCAACTCGGCCAGCGGCTCCGAGCTGCTGCTGCAGGCCGACACGGGCGCGGACCTCCTGCAGTGGGTGCGCGTGCTGCAGGACCAGGCCGGCGACCCTGGCGGCCCCACCGCCGCGACGGCCGACGGCCTGGCCGCGGGCTCGAGCCCCGTCCAGGGCCTCTCGCCGACGGTGGCCCACAAGGGCATCAAGAAGCTGACGGCGCTCAGGAACCGGTCGCCGACGGGTGCGGCTGCGGCGGCCGCCGGGGCCCAGGCGTCGTCCGGGAGCTCGGCGGGCAAGGCGCGGAAGCAGAGTCAGCCCGCGCAGTTCGGCGCCCTGCCGCTGCCGCTGCCCACGGTGCCGTCGCCGTCGCCCAAGTCCAAGACGTGGAAGGGCCGCGTGGCCAAGCAGTTCCGCAAGATGCACACGGGCAGCAGCAACGGCGGCAACTCGCCCAGCTCGCCCACGGCCCCGCACGCGCAGCAGCACGTCGAGGGCGTGACCATCGGCGTGCCGCTCGAGGACTGCCCGCCCTCCACGTTCTGCGAGGCGGTGCCGCTGCTGGTGGAGCTGTGCACCTCGATCGTGGAGGCGCGGGGGCTGGAGGTGATAGGCATATACCGTGTGCCGGGCAACACGGCGGCCGTCGCTTCCCTCACAGAGTCCATCAACAAGGGCTTCGACTTCGTCAACCTTCAGGTATGTTATTACATTCGTTTTCAATGTTTTACTGTGTTAAATTGTTATTTTTTTCTCTTTGTGTCGGACTCTGAACCTGCACGTCCTCTCTCCTTTTTCCTAACCGAAAAACATTTGTAAACCATGTCCTGCAGGATCCAAGGTGGGGTGATGTGAATGTGATCTCAAGTCTGCTCAAGTCATTCTTCCGCCGCCTTCCTGACTCGTTGTTCACAACAGAGTTGTACCCGTCCTTTATAGAGGCAGACAAAATAGATAATCCAATCAAGCGGGTGCAAGCAATCCGCAAACTTGTAAGTAGGACATTTTTTGTGTATAAGACAGAGTGTCATGGTGAATTTTATTTTGGTCTGGAGTTTTCCTAAAGCATTATTATAAGTACCATGCATTTTTAAAATTTCAGATTCGAGAGTTACCAGAACATCACTATGAGACACTTAAGTACCTGCTTTTCCATCTCAAACAAGTGGTTGACCACTCTCATACCAATAAAATGGAAGCACGTAATCTAGCTATTGTCTTTGGACCGACATTAGTGCGTGCTGGAGATGATAACATGGTCACTATGGTTACCGATATGTCTAGCCAATGTCGCATAGTAGAAACACTCATATCAAATGTAAGTTTCAATGCTAATTTCTTTGTATTTCAATTTTTTTCTTCTGTAATTTCAATGTAATAATACTAATGTTGTGTTTTCAGGTCGATTGGTTCTTTTCAGAAGATGATTCTGAAGAATTCTCATTGCCTTCTTCTGAAGTAGCCAACACATCCCTAAATCTGTCAAGTTCTGATGCAGCAGCAACAGCTTCAAGTGCTTCAAGTCAGAATCAGAGTTTATTATTAGGAAACATTCATAAAGTAGAAGGTAGGCTTTCTTCCATCCAAGCATAAATTATGTATGAATAATTAATACTATTGCATTTTACTTTTACTTAACTAACTTTTCACATTTTCAGGGTTAAAAGCAGAATCTCCCAGTAAAGATGTTAGTGCAAGAGACATAGTTTCTTCTATTATAACAGCTGCAAATAGAAAGATACAAAGAGGGAAGTCAAAGAAATCAGAAAGTGATCACAATGAACACAAACAAGTATGTTTTGTTACCTTTTTATGATTATAATACAGATAGTTTGGTGTACACTTCTTCAGCTAATGAAAATTTAAAATCCTTGCTTTCTTTATTTCAGGTCACTGAAGTCGTTCATAGGCAGAAAACGAAAGATCATTCAAATTCTGGGTTTATGTCTGACCCTGATTCCCCACCTTCATCAGAATCGTTGAAACAAAAACGGTGCTCCTTGACGGATCCCATGCGTATCCATGTAGAACCTAATGTCTCAGAAGATGTTAAAACAAGCAACGAAACAGTAGTACCAGTTACTTCTATTCCAACCATCACAACGTCATCACCTAAAAGTAAGCTCCAGTGATATTAGTTTAGAATCACTCGAATATTTTGGGATTTTAGCTAATCCTTCTATACTTCTCTATAGCAACTGCTTCATTAGCTCTCCGCTACAAATCACCAGGAAGTGATGATGTTGCAATAATGAGCTATGCAAATCTAGCCCAAACAACTCAGGAGAGAATAAAGCGATTTGAACAAGAAACCAAAGCTATGCTGGAAAGGGACTTGTACCGTCAGAATAGAGACTCACAACAGTGGGATGAACAACGGAAGCAAATTGAGAGGCAATGGCTTGAGGCCAAACAAGAACTAGAAGCTGATGATGCCTTGGACTCTGTGATTGGTATTTCCTCTGGTATGCTCTGTTCTTCTTTATTGAAATTAGCAACTATCAATTATTCTCAAATAATTTGACATTTTATAAAGATTTTGTCTATCAATTTCAGACAAAAAATCAGCTGCAGACAAGCTTAGAGTAGATTCTGTTCGATCATTACTTAGCAGTACAAGTAGCAGTGGAAGTGCAAGTGGAGGTGCAACCCCTCCTCAAAGGTCTTCGTGGCGTGTGGGTTGGGGTTCGCGCTTGTCTTCCGTGTCAAACACGTCCAATTCTGCTTCATCTCTAATTGGGAATGTACATGTAACAGCACCTTCAAATCAGCAAGATGCTCAAAATAATGGACATTTAAAAAGGATGAAAACTGGGAAAGAACCGGTGTGTACTTACATTAGTTAGAGTATTTAGTAATGAATTTATATCTAAGTTTCATTTCTCAAATGTTGCTTTCCATTTTTCAGAGGTCGGGATCCTTAGACTCACTTCAGGGGGCACCAGCAGGCGAGCGACCTCAAAGTCACATGTCAGATGAAGGTAAATCTGAGTTTGCTTTGAATTATTCTTCTAGGAAAATGTTCTTTAGAATTAGATATTAAATTTAGGACTGAGTTGTTTTTTTTTATAAAGTCAGCATTAAGACATTCACAATGGTTGTCACAGTGCAATAAGGAGATTCACTTATTTCTTTGTTAACTAAAATATCAAAAGAATTCAATACTGTAAAAGGGTATAACTTTTTTTCGATGATTAACTTATCAATCTGCCTTTCTGAAAACTATTATCAAAACTTAAAGCTCTCCGGTTCCATCTTGGGTGGGTTTGTGTTATAGGCCGGACAAGATTGCAAGCTCAGACCAGGCTGGCGAGGCACACATATTTTCTCAGGAAGTAGAGTAGGGAGGTAAGCAGTGTGTGTGCTGCTTAATCTTCCAGAAAATTGCTGATTAACATTGTGCTTCATTTGTTTAACTGCTAAAATTTGCACAATTGCAGCTGTCTTGCAAGATATTGTTATTAAATCATCACTCAGTACAGTATTTCTTGTTGACACACACAAGATTGGATTGTTTTAGGAATTTTCTGTTGGATACATTTTACGTACATTTTTGTAAAGAAACGTCTTGTGTTTTAAAGAACTGAATAGTTGCTGTACCTATTTCAAGACATTATTAATATTCTGTGTTTTTTGAATAATCAATCTAAAAGAAACCAATTTGGTTTTCTAGTATCACATGAAGTTAAAGGAATACCGTGTGCAATATGGTTATTTATCAGAAGATTTTTTTACAATTTCTTTTTTGTTTTGTTATGCTAACAATAACACCCCCATGCTTGCACTTCCATGCAAATTTGATGTCTCATGGATATCATCACACAATATTTTAAAATTTGTCATCTGGTTTAGCAGAAATGCACCAAATCTTCAGACAACATTTTAATCATGCTTCAATAACTGTCAATTAACATTGTCATTGTAGTCTTAAACTTCATCCCAATTTTTATTTCACACAGAGTGCACCTTTTTTATTCATGTTTTAATCCGAAAAGAAAAAATAATCTACAGTGTGATTTGTACTTAGCACTGAAATATTTACTAATTTAATGTCTGATTTGTTTTTAGGTGGAGATCTCCTAGCAACTTTGACCTCTACTTTCGATCAGAAGATGAAGTCACTTTTGGGAACAAATAAGCCTACCTCTGGAACATCCAAACCATCTACAACCAAGTCTGTTAGTCAATCAAATAGCAGCAGTCCATCTGCACCCAAGTCCGCTAAGTCATCAAATAGTGTGACCTCAGCAGCAGCCACTGTACAAAAGGAGGACAAAGTGGATGCTGCTAGTGACGCATCAGATCGCTTGCACCTCTTAAACTGTGATGATGACATCCCGTTTGCGGATACTGATGCAACTGAACTAGAGGCGCGTGGACCACAGGCATTACCAAAACCTGTCAGCATTCAAACCCAAGAGCAGTCATCCCCAACTGCTCTCCTGACCTATAGAGATCCCAGCCTACACAGGGCTTCACGCATTTTGCGCTCTTCTACGGTAAGTTCACTATTTTATATATTTTGACTCTAAGGAATTTCTGATTAAATTACAGTGTTGGTTCATATCAATCCTTATTTTGCAGGTACCTGATAATCCAACTACTTTGGACAATAAAGAAACATCAGACAATTTAGGGACAAAATGTTCTCCTCTGCGGTGGTCAACACCTGTAAATGTTTCTGAGTGTAATTTTGTTAGTGAATCAGGAAGAACACTTTTAGAAAAGAAACCTGATTCAAATATGCTCTCAGGTGGTGGTGTTAATAACTCTGAGGTAGTTGGTAGTGCTAGTAATTCACCTGTTAAATCTATTGTGACCACTGGCTCTGCTCCTGTCAGTGGACCAATCAATATGCAATGTGATAAGTTAATTATGTCTGATTCTACTAAGAAAAGTGATTGTTTTCAGTCTTCAACAAAGCTGAAAAGATCTGAATCTTTAAACAAGTCTTCTGACCGTTCAGACAGTGTCGTGAATTCTAAACTTCGACGCTCTGAGTCTCTAAACAAGAATGACCGCTCTGAAATGAGTTTAAGTGTAAAATTAAGAAGGTCTGAATCACTTAACAAAAGTGAAAAGAGTGACTCCAAATTAAAACGCTCTGACTCGCTCACCAAGACTGAGAAAACAGAATCAAATATGAACCGCAGACGTCAGCAGGAAAATAGGGCTAATGCTCGTGGAAATTGTGGAGGTAATGCAAATATTCGAGACAAAGAAACTACTAAAATGTTCATTCAAAATGCAACATTAGTGCTTACCAAGCTCAAAAGAAAAAATGGAATGCCAGAGAGGTCTATTAAAAGACGACATACAGTTGGTGGTACCAAAGATTTTGACAAACTTCATTGGCTTGATAATCGCCTTCAAAGTGATCAATGGGAAAGTAACAATTCGCCTGTTGGTCTCAAAGAGAAGAAATCCCTTCGTACATCTTCCCCAGACCTTAGCTCCTCTAGGCTGGCAGGTATACTGGTGGAAGTGAGCTTACTGCACTCAGGTGATGTGCATCGACCCCACAGCCTCCCTGATCCAAATCTTGTGTCTGCAGTTTTCAAAGTACCTCTTGAGTCACATGTCTGATAGATTCCATGGTCCAATCTCAATGTTTTCTACAGTTTTAGGTTTGAATCTCTCAATTGAAGAGGCAATTTCAAACAATCAATTTTATTTATTTTCTCTTGTGTTCTGAAAATGAACTATTCAGCTCCAACAATTATGTCTTAGATCTTACTTTTAGGTGCCGCAATGTATTCAACTTAGCACAATCTATTAAAAAGTGGATCAATTAAACATAAGAAACACAGTATTCTCCAGTGCTGACCAATATTTGTATCTATGTTAAGACTGATTGCGCCTTCTTTCTCTGGACTTCCTGAAATTCATTGGTTCCTCTGTTTTCTTATCAACTGCTGAGCATTTTGAGTTGCCTGCATCTGTGTATTGAAGTGAATGGTACATACATTTTCTTTGATAATGTAATGCCCAAGATTGGTTTTAAACAGACATTTTGTTGCTATGCATTGTGATATTTAACATCTCTTTCATTAGTCTCATTTAAATTGTGTGTCCTTATGAAATTTGTATGTTGCCTGATTTGCGTGTTTTAGAGTGGACTTAAAAGTGTGTTCTGCTCTTAATTATGTGTGAAAAGTGTGTGTCTTTGTGTGAACGTGTGGTCAATGAATGAGTGAGAGTGCGAATGGATGGAGATTTGAGGGAGTATTTGAATCCCTGTGATATTCTATCATAGGGTCATTTACTGACTCAAAATCTCAAAAGTCACCTTTTTATTCAACCAAAACATTATTATTTTTAAAAAAATGTGTTTTATCACTAAATATTTATGAATTAAAAGCAGAATTTTTGATCCAGTTTTGTTTAAAACAGGGCTAGTAATCTGTTTGCAAATTGAATGTTGTGAATGAATGTCTATTAATATTATTATTCTCTGGACTAAGCTACTGCTACTATGCTACTAGCTGTTTACCTTTAATTTGTGTAAATGTCTCTGTTATCTCTTTTTATATGTTTAATTTGAGTTTTGGGTGGCAGCATTTGGTGATAGCAGAGCTGTTAGAGAAAATAGCTGGTAATACAGCTGTTTACCAAATGATGGGTGGGATCTGCAATAGTAATAGTGTGGAGAATTGTTACCTCATTTTTGACATGCTACTCAAACATTCCTGCAGTAGCTTTAAGGTGGCCCTGTAAAGTTAACCTGGCAAATCAGTGGCGTGTGTGTGTGTCTTTATTTTCACAGCTATGAGCTATCTTAAGAAGGATGCACCTAAAATAATGATGAAAGCTTTATTTCTTTTGTTATTACCTGAAAGGTTTTTTTTTGTTTAGTTAGCAGCTGGAGCTATATGCCCTCAGTGAGAAATTAGTTTTGCTTTAACTGTGATTCTGTGAAAGGCTCTTGGGTCTTTTAAGTTTTGTATATATTACTTGAAGAAAGTGCTTTTATGTTAGATTCAAAATTATTTAGTGTGTATTATGTTGTATTGCATTTGTTCATGTATATTTTCCATGTATAATTTTTATCATCAGAGTATCATTTGAGTGTGACCTAAGCTTCATGTGAGTGCTGCTAAGTAAGTGTAGGAGTATTTCATACTGATTGTCTCAATGTTTAAGTATTATGTTCATTTCTAGGGAAGTGGGCACATTCTGTGAGACATTTAAGGGTGTATTGAACCTGATAGTGTGATATCAGTACATTTGAAAATGTATCCTTATTGTCATAAACTAGACTATGGATGGATCTGTACACAGAGAACTACTGTAATTTATGGAATCCATTCCCTGGATTTTAAAATCAATGACACAACACCCAGTGTTGGTTTGACTGTTTAATTGTTAACTCACCCCTGAATTGAACCACTGTTTAGAATATATTAATTTATATTCAACGATAATTTTTTTGTTAATGAACTTGGTTATTGGCTTGACATTGTACCTGATTCATGTTACATCCACCTTATGTCTGTTGGTAATGGTTTAGCATGGATCTCAAACTTGCCACTACACAACCATATCAAAAGTAAATGCACTTTGTTTCTTTTATATCTGTTTATATGTACACAAGGTAAAAGAAAACTGTCTTTGTGAATAATAAATGCTATTCAATGATGAACTTATATCTTTGTCCAAGCTCTGATTTCACATTTTTTCAAAATAATAGGGAACAAAGTTCTCCCTGATCGCTCATTACATACCAACGGGACAAAGTAATTACTCAAAACAAATAAAAAGGTGGAGACAGGCCGGGCCGTCCTCCCGTCGGTGGGTGCGTGCGTGGTTACGTAAAGCCTCGGTGGGTTGGGGGGAGGGGGG